AATCATCTGTTTCTCTTAGAAGCAAGGTGTGTGAGATTTCAGCTCGTTTACTTTGGAAACATTATCAGGAAAGACCCATACCTAGAAAAGGACATCATGGCTGGTAAATTAGAGGGTCAGCCAAAACGAGGGAACCCTCAATGAGATGGATTGACACAATAGCCACAATGGGCTCAAACATAACAACGATCGTGATGGTGGCACAGGTCCAGGCAACATTTCATTCTGTTGTACATAGATCACCATGATTCAGAGCCAACTTGACAACAACTAACAACGATATATCAACTACTTAGAATGTTATGTTAAAAATCTTCCATTATGATAGTGGTTTTGTTCATTTCTCTTTGTATTTCTGTCAATTTGTGTCTTTTTTTTAATATATATCTGAGGCTCTTGTTTTCAGTTACATACAAGTCTAAAACTGCTTTATCTTCCACATGCATTGAATCTTTTAGGATTGTTTTGTGTCCCTCTTTAGGTTTAATGCTTTTTGCCTTAAAGAATATTGTGTCTGATATTAATCTAGTTACTTTCTTTTGGTTATTACTTTCTTCTTATATCTCAGGTGCATAGAATTGGATTAAAAACTATCTTTAGCTCATGAGAAACTCTGATCATTGGTCCATATATGTCCTATTTTTATTCATTTAGTTAGTCATTATAAATAATGTAATAATCATCAACAAAACCACTTTCTAAAACCAAAGATAGGACCTAGATAGTAATCCACATCAAATCATTTGGCTCCCCTGCCTCCCTTGACCTGAGGATACCCATCATCCTGAATGTATAATCTAATCTATATTGTTCATTCCTTACTTTCCTTTTTATATAGTTTATTATATATATTCCTAGAAATTAATATTTAATTTCAGTTGTGTTTTTAGAAAGGTAATTACGCTATACATAATTTTAGGAGCTTATTTTTCCAGTAGGTCACTAGGTGGCACAAATGGTTTACACTCAACTACTGATCTAAAGGCTGGCGGTTCAAGCCCACGCAGTGGTACCGCAGAAGAAAGGCCTTGTGAGCTGCTTTTATAAACATTACAGACAAGAAAACCCTATGGAGCAGTTCTACTCTGTAACACATGGGGTCACCCTGAATTGGAATCGACTCAGTTGGCAATGGGCTTGGTTTTTTATTTTATTTTTCCATTTACAGTAATATAAATTTGTTAAAATTATTCCATGTTTTGCATGTCTCTGTAGTTCACCCATTTTGATTGTTGTGTAATATTCACTACTGTCTCTTGATGGGCATTTAGGTTGTTTCCTGTTGTTTGCTATTGTGAAAGTACTACTGTATTCTTACACATGTCTCCTTGTGTACATAAGCACGAGACTGGGTCCTAGATTGTATGTAAGCGTTCAGTATTAGGAGATAATGCCAAAGTGCTTTCCCAACTGGTTTCACCAATTTATATTCACATCAGATCCTCTGGGTTGACATCCTCTCCAGCATTTGGTGTCATTAAACCAAAAAAAACCAAACAGATTGCCATCAAGTCGATTCCTATAGGGTCGCAATGAGTCGGATAGAGTAGAACTGTCCCATAGGGTTTCCAAGGAGTGGCTGGCGGATTTGAACTGCCAGCCTTTTGGTTAGCAGCTGAATTCTTAACCGCTATACAACCAGGGCTCCTTGGTATCATTAGATGTTTAAAGTTTGCAAATCAAATACAGGTAAAACAGTGCTCTTTGTGGCCTTTATTTGTATTTCCTGGATTACTTGTGAATGTTGAACATCTTTCCATATGTTTATTAGCTAAATTTATTTTCTCATTTGGGAAATACCTATTTATATATTTCGAGTGTATTTTTATTGAGTTTCTTGTGCTTTTCTTAATGAATTGTAGTAAATATTTATGTATTCATAATGTTGATCTTTGTCAGTATATGTATTCCAAGATATCCATTCCTGGTTTTTAATTTGTCTTTTTGTATTTTTGAAAGTGTTTTTTAATTAGCAGCAGTTTTTCATTTTAATGTAGTCAAATTGATTGATAATTTATTTTACAGTGAATACTTTCGTGTCTTGGTTAAGAAAACTTTTCCTACTCCAAGGATTAAAAGATAATAACCTAGAATTTTTTACTACGAGTTAAAAATATTTTTTAATGCTTAAGTCCTTATACCATCTAGAGTTGTTTTTTTTTAAATTATGATTATAAAATAGAGATTCAATTTTATATTTTTCCATAGAGATAACCAATTTTTTTCCAGCTTAGTTCTTTAATTTCCCACTGATCTAACATGCCACCCCTTGTCATGCACCACGTTTTAATACATGTGTAGGTCTGTTTCTGGGCTCTGTTCTATTCCACCATTCACACACATTTATACCTGGGCCAATACCATACTGTCTTTAATTATTATAACTTTGTCCTCCTATCTGGTGGGGTAAGCCTTCTCTCCTTGCTTTCTTTCTTCAAGAGTGCCTTGTCTATTCTAGGCTCTTTACTCTTCCATTAACGTTTAGAATTATTAAAATCCATGAAAATTCCTATTAGATTTTTAAATTTAAATTGCATTGAATCTGTATATTAATCTGGAAGGAATTCAGATATTTATATTAAATCTTTCTAGCCATGAACATGAGCTATTTTCCAACTATTTAGGTTATTTTTAAACATCTTTTAATACAGCATTTATAATTTTCTTCATAGAATTTTCACATATCTTTTATTAGATTTATTTCTTAGGTGTCTGATGTTCTCTGAGATCATTATAAATGGAATGCTCACTTTAATTATGCTTTTTAGTTTAGTTTCTTTTTTTTTTTTTGCTTTTGATATATAGAAATGAAACTGACTTTTGTGTATTAATCTTATATCTAGCCAACTTGCTAACCTCTCCCATTATTCTCATAATTTGTAGATTATTTTATGTTTTCTGTGAAGATAAGTATATCTTTCCTATAATATAGTGACATTTGAACAAGGATGTGAAATAGGAAAGGAAGTAAACTATATGGATATCTGGGAAAGAACTTACCAGGCAGAGGGAACAGCAAATACAAAGGTCTTAAGGTGGGAATGTTCAAGGAATATCAAGGAAGCCAGAGTACCTGGAGTGCTGTGTGTTGGCAGGAAAGTGGTAGGAGATGAGGTCAGGAGTGTAGGACCAGGTCATGTAGGGCCTTGTAGCCCACTGTAAGGACTTACGTTTTCACTCTGATTTGAGCATCCATTGGAAGACTTAAGCAAAGGAGTGACCTGATCTGATTCAAGTTTTTAAAAGATCATTCTGGTTACTGTGTTGAGAATAGCATAAGGGTCAAGGGCAAAAGCAGCAAGACATGATAGGAGGTCATTGCAGTAATCCAGATGAGATGATGATGATGACTTAGACTAGGGTTGTAGTGGTAGAGATGGAGAGAATTGGGAAGATTCACAATATGTTTTGAAGGTAAAACCAACAAGATTTGTTAACAGACTGTGTATTGCTTAGGAGAGAAAAAGAAAAGTCAATGATGATTCCAAGATTTTTGGTTTGAACAACTGGAAGAATGGAGTTTCCATTAATAGAGAATATTGTTGAGGAATTTGGTTATCATTTCACATAATGTTACTTTATAAGGACTTTGAAAGAAATTAATTTGGTCTTAGTATTGGAAATAATTGCATTTGTCTTGATAATTTTCTTTGGCTTTATTTAATGGAGACTAGGAGTTATGTGACTAGCTGCATGGCTCTTAGAAGATAACAGAGCCACATTTGTGTCCCTTACAGCAAGTGTATAGATATCTAAAGTATGTGTATTTTTTTTATTGACTTCATTCACATTTGCTTTTATCTTTTTTTGTCAATATATAATAGAATGTAATGAATTCTGTTATATGGTACGTATCTTTATATACCTTCTTAAAATCTTTTTATAACAAGGCATGGGTTGAATAAATAGAAATAAATCATTTGCATTGTATGCCATCATAAATGAAATGTCAGAGTAGCATTAATTGTTAAAAACTAAGTTAAAAGTTGAAACGTCATCTTTATATATATATATATAAAACCAAAACCAAACCCGTTGCCATCTAGTCAATTCCAACTCATAGTGACCCTATAGGACAGAGTAGAACTGCCCCATAGGGTTTCCAGGGAGCAGCTGGTGGATTTGAACTGCCAACATTTTGGTTAGCAGCCGAGCTGTTAACCACTGTGCGTTCAGGGCTCCATATATGTGTGTGTGTGTGTGTGTGTGTATATATATGTATGTGTGTGTGTGTGTATGTATATATATGTATGTATATAGAGAGAGAGACTGCTAAGTTTCTACAACTCTGTATCATCCATTCAACAGTCTTCATTGAATAGCCACTGTGTGCCAGGTGCTTGCTATTCTAGACACTTGATACACCAGTTAATAAAACAAACAACTCTGCCATCAAGGAACATACTTTCTAGTTGGAGGATACAGGCAAAAAACAGCACATGTAATATATTAGTAACTTATGTACTATGTTAGAAAATGATACATGCGTTGGACAAGGAAAGTCAAATGTGATCAGGGAGATTGGAGATGAAGGCAGTGTGGGTAGTGTGGAGTGGGGAGGTTGCAGTATTAAATAGAGTGGTCTGGATGGGTCACATTGAGAAGATGACATTGGAGCAGAGACTTGAAGGAGGTGAGGGCGTAGGTAATGTGACTTTCTGAGGAAAGAGCATTACAACAGAGGGAACGGCAAGTGCAATGGCCCTGAGGTGGGAGCATGCTTGAAATATTTAAGGAACGGCTAGGAGCCAGAGAGGAGGTGAATGACAAAGGGGAAGAATCGTAGGAAATGAGGTCATAGAGGTAATAGGTTTGGCGGACAATTCAGATAGGGCCTTGTGTACTGTTGTTAGGACTTGGGCTTTTCCTCTGAGTGAGAGGAGCCACCGTTGCAGGATTTCCATCATGAGTGGAATGATTTGACTTGTGTTTTAAAAGGATCCCTCTGGCTATTATAGTTTAAATTTCAAAGGAGTTGATGATTATTTCTACAATTTTAGGTATATTACAGCTAATACTGACACAGAAGAACAGAGCTTTCCAGTCCCTAAGGCATTTAATACACATATAGAAGAATTAAACTTAGAAGCCCTTCTTCAGAAGGCAGATCATTTACGTATGAATGAGTCTGGCAAGATGGAGAGTTTTGAACTACTTTGTGACCATAAAGAGAAGGTAAGAGATATGTAACAACATGTTTGTATAGTTTTGATTGTTCATTCAATATCCCACTCACATTATGATCATAACAATTATTTCACAGTTTATGCAAGCTAAATGATTGATGTATAATTTTTCTATAAAATGATTAAAATTTTAAAAAAGTAAATGTAAGAGTTTAGTAGGCTCAAAACTCATAAAAATGAGTACCAGAGCTATGATTATACAGATTTATTTGATTTTCTACTAATTTTATATATTCAATAAATATTTTATAACAAATAAGAAATGAGCCATTATGCCAAGGTACATAATACTGCTTCTCTGGAGCGAGAAAAACTGCTCTTTAACTTTTCTGTCTTATAGTTATCAACACAACAGCTATCAGTATGTAAAGCTGTTTCTACCACTAGTCATTTTTAATGTTTAATGTTGGGCCTGAATTGGAAAAGCTGATCTTTCCTACCACCACTATCAAAAATAAAAAAAGTGTTGGCAATATCCCAAGGAGAAATAAATGTCTTTCTTTCCCATGTGCAAGTCTAACCTTTGTCTGAGTATTTAGCAATCTTAAACACATTGCTTGAAAGTTATTAAAAAAAAAAAATCCAGGATTATATTAGTAATTTAAATTTAAAAAATTGACTACTCCTTTAAGTATCTGTGATCCAGCTTACAGATATTATTTGAAAGTTCATTGAGGTATCATAGTGGCAGTAGATAACTTAGGAAGGAAAGCAAGAAGAGGCTGCCTAGAGCCCAGGGAGGACAATGGTATAATGGAGATTTTGTGCATTGTGGCACCTATCAATTCTCTCTTCTACACAAGTAGAGATAGTATCTTGGATAATATCAGTTAGTTTCAAGATCCAAGTATAACGATATGTTAGGTCACATTTCTAAACCGTGAATATTTGGATTTAATGTGTTATATATTTATGTATGCTTATACTGTACATGGAGCCCTGGTGGCACAGTGGTTAAGAGCTACAGCTGCTAAGCAAAAGGTTGGCAGTTCGAATCCACCAGCTGCTCCTTGGAAACCCTGTGGGGCAATTTTACTCTGTCCTGTAGTGTCACTATGAGTCAGAATTGCTGAGTTGGAATTGACTGATTGGCAATGGGTTTGGTTTGTTTTGGTATACTGTACATGGAGCTCTAGTGGCACAGTGGTTAAGAGCTATGGCTGCTAATCAAAAGCTTGGCAGTTCAAATCCACCAGCCGCTCCTTAGAAACTCAATGGGGCATTTCTGCTCTGTCCTATGGGGTCGCTAGGTGTCTGAATTGACTCGACGGCAATGGGTTTGGTTTTTTGGTTTTATACTATACATAGATTCAATCATCTATAAATACCAGTTTACCAGCCTGATTTTTAAAAGTTGCAGTGGAAAACATTTACGTTGTGGTCAAGTTAATGAGTTAACCTAATGTATAATTCTTTTTTTTTTAGTTTAAAGACGAAACAGAATTTATTTGGCGGTTAGCACGTGCTTACGGGGACATGTATGAGTTATCTACAAATACTCAAGAAAAGAAACATTATGCTAATATCGGTAAGCGTTTTTTAAAGATTTATTGTCCTCAAGTGGCAATTATGATCTGCAATAAACCACTAAAGAATCTGAATTAAATTTTCTTAAAACCAGTATGTTTAAATCTATTTTAATATATCCTGGTACAAAAAAAAAAATACAATCTCAGGACAGAAAAAAACATTTTTAGAACTAATATATAGTTCCTTAAGAAAAAAAAAAGAACATGTTAGAATGTTGTCAGGTGTTGTCAAGTCAATTCTGACTCTTAATGACCCTGTATGACGGTAGAACTGCCCCGTAGAGTTTTCTAGGTTATATGGTTGCCATGAGTCGGAATTGACTCAACAACAATGAGTTGTTTGGTTGTTGTTTTTTGTAATATTTACAGGAGCAGATCGCCAGGTCTTTCTCCTGCAGAGCCACTGAGTGTGTTTGAACCACCGACTTTTCGGTTAGCAACTGGAGCATTTAACCATTGCACCACCAGGGCTCTTTGCATTTTAGAATAGGCAACTGAAAAAACTCAAATTTCAGTTTTAAAAGTTATAAAATCAAAGACAAGACTTCAAGTGGTAGTGTTTGAGAAACAATAAAAGGCAGAGGACAGCTGTCTTTAGCAATAGTCCTTCAGCACGGTTAAAATAACACACCCTACTTCCAGTAACGTATTACTCTAGATACCACAAAGAAATAACCTCTAGGTACCTCAAAGAAATAACAGACTGACTTAAGTTGCTATGTTTTTTCAAAATTTATCTTGATAAAACAAGATTAGCTTTGAGTTAATAATTGTTTCAACTGAGTGATGAGTACATGTTGGTTCTTTATACTGTCCTCTATACTTTTTGTCTATGTTTGAAATTTTCTTTAATTAATAAAAAAAAAAAAAGCCAGAATGTCAAATCTTTTTTTTTAATCTCACCTTAACTCTTAACTGTACACCAAAACTCTTTCTTGCAAAAGCCCCTTAACTGCCATCTCTCTGAGATTTAAAGTATTAGTTTGACATCAAAACCTCTTTAATTCTTTTTTCATTCCAAAGTCATCTCTTTTCGAGGCTTTCCTTCTCTAAGATAACATGAGGAAGAAACAGCAAGAATGAAGATGATACTGCATATCGCTTCTTAGTCTAGTTCCCTCTTTTTATTCTCCAGAAGGAAGTATTGTTAAACTTCGCATGTATTAGAAACTCCACAAGTAGATTTCCTTGCCAATTGGCCTCTGTACTTTAATTTTTCTCCCCGTGAGAGGAGGATGAGGTGATTCCTATGACCTTCTTGTTCTTTATGTATTCATCATCAGCTTGGGGAAGGGACACTTTTTCTGTAGCAATCCATCTCTCAGGCCATATACAAAATGGAATTCTAGGGAAGAGATTTATTAACTGCTGAGTAAATAAAAATTTAACCAAAGAGAACAAGCTATTTTCACATCTACTAAGAAAATCAAAGTGCATCTATATAAATTGTTCTAATGTTCTTCAATATTAAACACATTTTTTTCTTAAGTGCTTACCCTAACCTAGGCATTGTGTCAGAAGGTAGGAATATGGTAACTTTGTGGCTTTTGAGGCAGTATTATTCAAATAATCATGGGTATAAAGAAACAAAAAGAGATCAAGTGTTCTTAAAGGAAAATGCAGGGTGTTAAGAGAGTACAGAATAGGAAAGGAGGGTATGATGGCAGGGGTGGGGTTGATCTGGGGAAAACTGTCTTACAAAAGGAACCGTTTCACACAGGGAAAATCACTTTGGATCTCTATTTTTAAATGGAGTAGGAGTTTAATTGAGTTAACATACGAGATGGTAAAGATGGAAAAGAAAGAAGCTGGAGGAAGTTTGTGGGCAAGAATGGAGTTTAGGATTGGAATAGAGTATATCTGAAAAAAAGAAAAATTTATGGTGCCCAGGAAAAAGAAGTAAAGCCTGAGATGTGTGAGTGTTCATTCAGATATTAAAATACATTTTAAAAAATTCTCTATATTTGTTCATTTAAGAAATATTTATGCAAAATTACTCTGGGAACAGTGTTAAAATGAGGGGACGAGAGTGAGAGGAAGGAGAGAATGAGTGACTTAAATATGATAAAGATGACCCTACACACTCAAGGAACTTACTATATGGAAGAGATCAATATGGAGACAACCAATTATACTACGTGTAAAAGTAGTACTAAGTGCTTGGTAAGGTAATGACAAAGTCCACTAGAGCCCAGAACAAGGCAAATGATATGGACTAGCCATTGAAGGATATTGAAATTCAGTATGAGGGAGAAAGAAGTGCCAGTGCTATCCCTCTTTGTAGTATGATTGGCATTGTTATGGTAAGGGAATATTTAATCATTGGAGAGTACAGAATCGTTTCATAAAACCAGAAGTGGGGTACACTATGCAGTACATCTTCAGAAGTACCATGGCTGATCGTAACTTGTATTCCAAGTGAAATATGAATCTTATATTTTATTTTTTGTTGTTGTTTGTACTTAAATGAAGTTTACATTTCAAGTTAGTCTCCCGTACAGAATTTTTTCTACATACATTGTTATGAGACCCTAATTGCTCACCCCATTCTGTGACAGCACACTCCTCCTTTCCACCCCAATACCCCATGACCATTCAACCAGCTCCTAACTCTCTCTGCCTTCCCATCTCATCTCTGGACAGAAGCTGCCCCTTTGGTCTATTGTATCTACATGAATAAGAGGCACACTCTTCACGAGTATCATTTTATGTCCCACTGTCCAGTCCAATCCCTGTCTGAAGAGTT